ATAAAACAAGAACAAACATTCTTCCTTAACCAACAACACTAGCAGTAGTTATACAACTAGTAAGAGTATATTACTATTAGTATTACTAGTACTAGCAATGATTACTAGTTGTAGTTATAAAGAACTAGTAGTAGTACTGCTAGTAGTTTTACTATTAAGTTAAATTACCAGTAAAGCTTAGGATTATGTAACTCCTAAACTCATTTCAAAATTTAATTAATGTCTACAATTACGACAAATGAAATATAAACAACTATAAAGGTCATTCAGAAGTTTACAAAAATGGTGTTGTTTGTTTGCATTACCCTATTATTATTAAAACCAAGATTACCTGATTGACGGCGCCATAGTCTGTCATGTTCAACACACATGGGTAAATGATTTTATTTTTCATCAATGATCCCACAGATCACCAGCAGATGTCAGTACAAATCTGTCTCTGCCCTCAATAATTCTAGATACAATTTCGAGCTTCTTTTGCGCAATAAAACATCAATGTTTAAAAATATATATATATTTTTTTTTTTTACTTTTTGCATTGAGATCCTAATTTAATTGTTTTCTGATTGAGGTGTTTAAAATTGTAAAGGGAACTGATAGTGTTGATGCATCATCTTTTTTCATACTTAACAGTGAGAATGACAGGACTAGGGAACATTTTGGCAGGAAAGAAGCCATCTACAGCTAAGGCAGTTTTATTTTTCTCATAGACTGGTTGGCTTTGGGAATGGGTTGACTTCGGATGTTGTGGAGGCAGCAAATTTAAGTGATGTTAAGAGAAAGCTTGATAAATATATGAATGATAAGGGCTGCCTTTAAGATTTTTTACAATTTATTTATTAATAATTTTAGTTTAGTTTAAAGATGGTATAGCCAAGATGGACCAATAGGTCCCATGTTGTTCCAAAGCGTTACATTATGTTAAATAAAAAGAGAAAATATAATTGTTATGTTACTATCAATTTTATTACACAATGAAGAATAACTTGACAGTAAGAAAAATAATAAATTTGGTGTTTATGAGTATTAAAATCAAACTCAAGAGCAAAAAAAAAAAAGTTGTTCGTACAAATATATATTTTTATTTGTTAAATATTACTATAAAAGTAATTGATTTTGCTTCACTAATCATTTCGTTAACATATTTTTTGTCCACAGCAATATTTTTATCATATTTCGCCATCGCAATGGAATACAAGTAACTTCTGAAACAAGTATAGTAATGGAAATAAAAAAAATGGTTGTGAATTTGTTTCCAATCAACATATTTCATCACCTGCTTTCGCTAAAATGGTTTCGTTGGACTTCACAGATATTGTGAATCTTCTGCTACTTTGTGAAATTTAAAATTGCTAATACAAGAGGTGTAAAGATACTGATAAGTAATCAATTGTTGATATAAGGGCTTTTTTTGAAACAAACTTTGTTATAAAAGGCGAATTCGAAGAAATAATAAAAATCAAGTGAAAACTACATATTATATATGTTTTAAGCAATGATCAGCAGTAAATAAACTATATTAGTCATTAAAATATTTTATCTAGAGAAAGATAAAATAATGTATTATATCATAGTAAAGCTAAATATAAATTAAGTTTTTTTGTGTTACCATCTGATGGTGTAGATTTAAAACATAACATATGGACAACAGGGGATAATTTCATCCTTGTCCATCCTTGACCTCGAGAAAATCAAAACTTTAATCCCACTCTATATTTTTCAGGAAATCTTCTCTTAACTTCTTGCATAGTGCTCTCCTTCATTAGTGCCGACAGAAGTTCATTCCATAGGCCAGTCACCCTGCTAAAAAATAACATAAAACAAAACCATTTTACTAGAGTCTAACCCATCTTTCCAAAACTTTTATCCTCCTGTTCTACTGTCTTCAGAATACCACACAAAGTCAGAGGCCTTTATCCTATCGATCTTCCGGATAATCTTGTAAATTTTCACTCACGTTTTACCCTTAAAGTAAGATATTTCAACCTATCCTTATAAATTTAACACTTCTATCCCTAAAATTACCCTTTATGTCTTGTAAATAATATATTTATATACATGTCTTAACTTCTTATTAGCTTTACTACTAGCAAAAGAGCACTGCTTCTATGACTTGAGTGACTTATCCACCACTATTCCAATATCCTTTACTTCCGACATGCTACTGAATGGTTACTGTAAATAAGAAAGAGCAAAGATCCGAGTACTAAGCCCTGAGATACTCCAATAGTAACAACGGTCCAGTTTAACTAGACTCCGTTAATAACTACGTTTTCTGCTTTCTGTCATTCAACCTCCATATAGTCCAATTTACTGATCTTTCTCCAGCCACTACTAATGTGATTTTCTTTGCTAATTTTTTGTATGGTATCTTATTTAAAAAAATTTAAAATCTAAGTACACCAAATCCTTGCCATTCCAATCGTCCAGATAAGAAGTAATACAATCGTAAAACGTTAACAGATTAGCAAGACAAGATTTACTTTTGATGAATCGATATTGCCTTTTGTTAATGATATCATATTTCAATAAATGATTTGTATAAAGTTTCTTTTATCAGGTTATCTAGAATTTTTTCATTTTTTCCACAACTGAACTAAGACTAACTTGGCTACACATTCCAGGACTTGTCTTAACAATCGTTTAAAAATATGGGTAATCTTATTATTGATGTCAAGAGGATAATTCTTAATTTCATAGCATTCTTACTGATTTAATGAAGATCATTCCTGATCTCATAGCATATGTTTTTGATATCATCAGGACATGGAAAAGTGGTGAACAAAAATCCTATTTACGTAAACTAATATAAAGTAAGTTCCAGCTCTGAACTGTACACATGAGGAAGCAGATACTTGTATAGCTTTGTACGCTCATCATGCAGCCACAAGTAATTACAAAGAAGTCACCATCACCATCATCTGTAAGAAAACAGATGTTTCTCTGTTGTGATTTGTAATTGTAGTGAGATACCTTTCTCTCCGTAGCAAAAGCATGGAATGAAAAACCATAGCTGATACATGGACATTGGAATACTTGTCATAGCACTAGGGACTAACATGTGCAAGATTTTACATTATGCAACACTTGGTGTTTTCGCAGCCCTGGACGAGCTGACCACATTAAGTTAGTAAAGGGTAATCCACAGTATCAAATGACATTCTGTCAACTTAGCGAATTTTCATAAGTCCCTAAAAACTCTTTAAGCAAGTTGAAACACTCATTTTTCTGCTCATAAAATATCACCACCATAGATAAGATGCTTGTTCATTCATAAAGTACTTCCACCAGAGATAAGAAGTTTGTTTACTCATAAAGTACCTCTACCATATCCATGATGCTTGTCTACTCATAAAATACCACACCATAAATAATGTTACGACAGCGGAAG